CAGTACTTTAGCTGTTCAGAGGAGTTACACATTTGGATTTTCTTCCCTAATTATGCCCTCTTTTAGTCAGTTTGTTTGTGTAAATGTATTGATTCCTGTATATGCTATCATGCCTAGTTGCATTTTAGAATTAGCTTCCACAGATGAGAGAAATCATGTGCTGCGATTAGAGAAAATATGCCTTTTGTCTCTCTGAGCCTGGCTTACTTCACATAACATGATTTATTCTAGGTCCATCCATTTCCTTGCAAATGACATAACTATTCTTTCTAATGGATGAGTAAAATTCTGTTGTGTATATGTAGCACATTTTCTGTTGTAGGGCATTTGGGCTGTTTCTATAACTTGGCTATTGTGGATAGTGCAATAATGAACATGGTTACAGTTTTGAAAGCAAGTTTATTATGATATACTTTGAAATTTTCCTGTGTCTGCATTTGATATATTCAGTCTTTCTTTGGCATAAGAAATGTTTTTACAAGGGAAGTCTTAAGATCTTTCTCATCATGTTAAAAATCATTCTATCACTAAGCTCAGGCCCCTTGTTTACTAATGCTATCAGGGCTTGTTTTCATTACTGTGTTTTTTTCTCCTGATTATTAGTCATATTTTCCTATTTATGTGCTAATTGTTTTAGTTTGCTGTGTGGTTTGGGGGATAGAACCTAGGCCTGGTTCATGTGAGGCAAACACTCCATCACTGAGCCAGAGTCCCCAGAATACATGCCTTCCTATTGGTGTGTGTGTGGGGGGTGCACACGTGCACGTGCCAGTACTGGGGCTTGAATTCAAGACCTCACACTTTTGCTTGTCTTTTTTGCTCAAGGTTAGTGTCTTATCATTTGAGTCATTCTTCCACTCCAGCTTTCTTACTAGCTAATTGGTAAGAATCATTCAGACTTTTTTTTTTTGCCTGGGCTGTTTTTGAACTGTGATCCTCATATTTCAGCCGCTTGAATAGTTGGGATTGCAGACAAGAGTTACTAGCACCTGACTTTGTCTATTGTCTAAAATGCATTCATTTAATGTGTTTTAAGCATTATTCAGACATATTATAGTCTTGCAGAAATCTGGTCCTTTTGTGGCTTATTTTAAATTTTGTTAGAGTACATTTAGATCACCTGTTAGTCTATAGTGTTTTTTTTTTTTTTGGCTACTGAAGGGTATATCAACCCTTCATGTACCACAAAATTTCTTACTCCAACTGGTGAGAACTAGAACTATTTCTGGCTCATATGATCTTAAAGAATTGTGTGACCCGTAGCTTTTTCCTCACACACCCACAGAATAGCATTTGGCCACAGGCCATTTCAAACTTCTGGTGTTTCATTTCTTTGTAGCTCTCTTATCTCCAATACCCTTTCTCACAATTCTAGATGCCTCAGCCTCCTGGAACTTCAAGTTCTATCTCTTCAATCCAAAGGGACTGACACATATTGAACTGTAATTAGAAGACTAATTCCAGTTAAGCAATCATAGGTATCTGAGAACTTTCCTCTTCTCCTCTTAGGGTTCAAAGTCCTGACTGTCTACTAGACAATGGCCTAACCATTTATTTCTATATATTTGCTGGATTTTCTAGTGATGAGAGAGCAATTTCCATAATGATAATCTTTTGTGGGTAGACACAGAAGTTCTCTATAATGTGTTTTTATATTTATGTGTTTTTATATTTTCTTATCTAGAACCCCAGACATTGACCATATTTATGGGAATTCTTGGCTAAGGATTTCTACACCATGTGGTGTAGAGCCCACATTCATGCCCAACTAACTTGAGATCCATTAATTTTCCCCTAGAACCACCTCCAAGCAGATGGCAATCTTTTATACAGCCTTTCTGTGTCAGTTGGTAATATTTTTCTAAGTCCATTTTTAAAAACTAGCTGCCCTCTGCACATGCCGCTTTGTAGAGGGATTTTGGTACCAGCTTTACATCTTGAGCAATCTGAGTCCATGTTTCTTGTCCTGGTGGGAATATTAAAACTCAGTTCCTGACCCTTCAGTTTATATCATTGTATTAGGTAGTTGGAATATTCTAGATAATTAAGTTGATAAACAGCTCTGGCTTGAGATTCTAATTTAATATTGACATTAACATTGACATTAAATGTTTGGTTGTGCTGATGTATGCCTATAAGTCCAGCACTTGGGAGGCTGAGACAAGAGGATCATGAATTCAAGAACAGCCTGGGCTCTATAAGAAGACCTTATCTTTAAGAAACAAAACAAGGGGCTGGGAAGGTGGCTTAGTGGTAGAGGGCTTGTCTTGCATGCATGAGGCCCTGGGTTCGATTCCTCAGCACCACATAAGCAAAAAGAAAAAAGCCGGAAGTGGCGCTGTTACTCAAGTGTTAGAGCTCTATCCTTGAGCTGAAGAGCTGAGGGACAGTGCCCAGGCCCAGAGTTCAGGCCCCATGACCGGACCCCCCCCAAAAAGAAAGAAAACAAAACCCCAAAAACAAAGACACAAAAATGTTTGAGATTTTTGCATTGGTCTAAGTTTATACACATGGGACTATTTAAGAGACTCCTAACATTTCCATATTTATGTTTAATTTAGTTGATAGTTATTTAAATCATTGGGAAGTTTTAAAGTCAAAACTAGTTCATATAAGTAATATATTAATATAATTAACTAAAATCAGCTCTAAAATTAGTTTTTTCAATGACTTGGTTTTTAAATAGAAAAATAAAATCATGAAGCTGAACTTAAAGGACTTGGAAAACTTGTGTTTTAAAATTTGTGTCTAATATATTTATTTTATAAAAGTGAAACCTTACTACCATGTTCCAATATGATCATATTTAGTAGTGCACAGATATATAAATGCTTGTGTGCTAAAAAGCACCTTTGGCATCACTTCAACCAATGGCTCTAATTCCAGTTATAGTTTTCCATTTCATAAGAGCTGCTTTTTACCTAAGTTACCATGATGTAGCTAATTGAGTCTGGTAATTATAAAGGCTGAAATTATTCTTAGAAGCATTTGATTGAGAAATGTTATCATGCAGCAACTCTGAATAGGAACACCATTTCTTTTACCACTGTGGCCCATTAAGTCTTTCTGCTGATGTCAGGGATCTTCGTAAGAACATACTCAGCTTCATATGCTTTCCCACAATTTTAGAATTTACAATATACCATTTCAGATTTTGTTTGCACATAATTCCACATCCTTCTTGCTTTTTCCCTATTCTTCATTTTGGTAGGTGGAACTGTAGGATAGGGTGTCAGATTCTGCTCTCATACATGGTTCTCCTGACATTGAGAACTCAGCTGCTGGTGGTACATGGCATGTGCTATTGTTGCTTTTATTTTATTTTATTTAAAACAAAACAGCAAACACTTTTTGGGGCCTGCACTATCTCTTGGTATGGGAGACCTGCCACTACTTGATTCTTTTCTCCAGTTGCCACTGCTTCCCACTCAGTGACCCCTTTTTTTAGATCTCCTTGTACAGACATGGCAATGTTGTGGAGAGAAGGGAAATTTCAGAGTGATTCTGGCCAGTCACTTTCCTCAGGGTTCATCTGACCTCTCAGAAAACTCCTTTACCTGCTGTATTAGTTTTTCTTGTTGCTGTTCCTGCGATGAAATACTTGAAGCTAGATAACTATAAAGAAGTGAAGCTTTTAGGAGCACAGTTTAGAGGTGGAAATTCCAAGATCTTGCAGCCCCCATGAATTTGATTTTGGTGAGGAGAGTATCATAATGGGAGCTCATGTGGGAACCAGAGATCACTTGGCCAGATAGGAAGTTCGAGAGTAATTCTGGGTTCAGACAACAGCCTGCTGCCCTGAGAACTAACTTCAGATCCCATGAGAATGACTATAATTGCTTCTGAGGGCAATGTGCCCTTGATCATGACATGGACTTCCCACAAAGCCTCACATCTTAAAGGTTCTACCACCTCTCATCATGCCACACCAAAGATCAAGTTTCCAACACAAAAAACTTTGAGTTCTCACTCAGACCAGATCCAACGCAGAGCACATGTCATGGCCAAGAATAAGAACACCACACCCTGTACCTGCCTGACATTCTTGTGTCATGGCAGTCTGTCAGTTAGTCAGGTGGATGGGTTGCAGTTTGATTAAAGGCAATGAAAGGGGAAGATGCTTAGAAGACCTCCCAACTGTCTGATCTGTTCCCTACTGCTAGTTTGAACCCCCAACGTTCATGTGCTGGAAACCTAATCTCCAAAGCAGCAGTGTTGAGAAGTAGGTCATTTAGGAGGTAATCAGGTCTGTATTTGTGGTGTCTGTGGCATGGTTTCAGGAGCTTGGAGTGGGTTCCTGACGAAAGGGTGGCTACATTCCCTTTCTCTAGGTGAGTTCACGCTTCTCCTTCTCCTTCTTCCATGGGATGATGCAGCAAGAAGGTCCTGTCCTGATGCTGTCCTCTTAATCTTGGACTTCATAGAACTCTCCAGAACTATAGGAAATTAATCTCTTTTTGTTGTAAATTATCCTCTGAGCCATTCTGCAACAGTAACACAACACAGACTCAGATATTTGGCCTTAGTGTGTATGTGGGGGTCTACATGTGTTTGTGTGTGAGCATGTGCACAAATGCTGTTGGGGGTGGTGATCCCAGAGCAACTACTGCTGGAGGTTGTGTCCTGGAAAGCCTGGAAGGGATCTCTGAACTTAGACAGAGGATACCTCCATGCCCTTTGTTCTGAGCTGTGGGCCCTTAGTTGCCATCTTATCACCCTTAACTGATCTTGGATATCTTAACTAAGAGATTGGCTTAGCTATGTGGGAAAAAAAACAATCAAGAGTGATTTCAGACCTCTGGACGTCAGAACTGTCTTTGATTCTGTTTGGGGGATACTGTCTTAACCAAAAGGATGTACATCATAAGTCATGCTTTAGCAGTGGCAAGCAAGGGACAGCTGTGTCTGCTCACAGCAAGGCAGCGAGAATGAGAGAAACACAGGGGGAGGCAGAGGACAGGTGGGAGACTGTTTATTCATAGTGAAGAGGCAGGCACCAGATCACGAGGCTGCCAGGAGACACGCACCTCACTGTTGTAAAAGCATATCACACTTATGGACATCACAGCTGCCTCTATTTAGTAGAATGCACAACTGTAACCACCGTCCTGGAGAACTTGCTGGAAAAAAAAAACCCATTCAGTTCAAACTCTGTCCCACAGCACATTCCTCTGCCCTCTGGCACATCTCTCCAACATGATTTGGCTCTTTTCCTTCAAATCATTTCCTAATGTTTCTACTATTGGTATTTTCTCAACACATAAGTTGTAAATAAAGAAAAACTATGAACATCTTACTAGCTGGTGCTTTACAAATAGGAATATTTTCCTTCAAGCCAGCACAAAATAGAAAGGAGAACTCAATCACAATTTCCTTATCTTCAGCCTCAACCATTCACACAGAACAGCTCAAGTGGTGCTGCTGGCTCAGCCTGGCTCTACTAACACCTGCCCAGTCTCCATTCACTTAGACTTCATGTTGCCTTTCTGGGGCTCGGCTGCGGCCTTCCTGGCCTCCTCCTCCGGGATGAACACACTGACAGTGAAGTCGCTGGTCTCGGAGCCATACTTATTCTTCACCACCAGTCCGTACTTGCCCGAGTCAGCAGTGCTCACGCCTGAGATGGTGAAGAACGCTGTCTTCCCAGACTCGAACCTGAGGTTGCAGTGGTCATCTGAGACCAGTGGCTTCTCATTCTTCAGCCAGGACACCTCTGGGGCAGGGTCTCCCCACACGGTGCATGTGAGATTGAGAGCCTGCAAGACAGGATTTATAGAGGGAGAGCTCTAAATCAGACACAATAATCTGACTTCACTAGTCTTGCTGGTTGGCTGAAATGGTGACCTTTTGAGAAGGTAAATATAAACCTCCCTGATATGGGCTTAAGGTAGTTCCTTGTCTGTACCTATGAGAAGTACACTTTGAAGTAATATGCGAGGAGATTTCTTAGGGCCAGGGCTTTGAGTGTTTAGAATGCCTGTCATCAAAACACATGCAGGAATTCTGTTTGCAGGCCTTCTTCATAAACAGAGATGCCTTTGGCTCAGTGCGGGCTCTGGGCTGCCTCAATGAAGAAGTCTCCTCATTGGCATAATCACCACCTGTTCACTTTGCATCTCATTTGTATCACAGAGCCCAGCAGTGGAATGGAACAGCTGCTCCAGAACATGTAACTAATTTTCATCCTTTGCATTTTACTTGGCTTCTAGAACCCCATCCAAGCTGTACAGTTGCAGTCAGGCTCTGCCAAACATATATGAAATGAAAGAGCTCTGTCTGTGCTGAAGTCCACTGACTCTAGAAATATTTATAATTAGGCTATAGATTTACTTTGTCTTACTTTTTTTAAATTGAAAACAAGTAACTATAAATTCTCATGCAGTTGTAAGAAGTAATAGCAACCCTATGTATCTCATATCCACCTTGCCCCAATTTTACAAAACAATCATTCACCATCCTAACCAGCACATGGACACAGACACAGATTTCCAAGCTGGGTTTGGCCTTTTTCTGGGTTACTTTGCTCCTAATTCTTGGCAATCACTGATCTGTTTTCCATTTTAAAAAATTTAGTCATTTCAAAAAGTTATACCAGGGCTGGGAAGGTGGCTCAGTGGTAGAGTGCTTGCCTTGCATGCATGAGGCCCTGGGTTTGATTCCTTAGCACCACATAAGCAAAAAGAAAAAAGCCGGAAGTGGCGCTGTGGCTCAAGTGGTAGAGCTCTAGCCTTGAGCTGAAGAGCTGAGGGATAGCACCCAGGCCCAGAGTTCAGGCCCCACAACCGGACCCCCCCCCAAAAAGTTACACCAATAGAGTCTTCAATATGTAACCCAGAATTGCTCTTTGCTCTCAGGCTCCATGCAGATCCACCCACACTGTTTATCATATCCATACTCTGGTCCTTTTTGTTGCTGAGTAGTATGACTATGCCATGGTTGGGACATATTTGCTTCGATGTTTTAAGTTTGGGTCGTTATAAATAAAGTTGCTATAAACATTTTCACATTTTGTGTGAATGTAAGTTTTTATTTCTCTAGGATAAATGCCTGGTCGTGCAATTGCTGGGTGGAATGGTAAATGGTTGATTCATATTTTCCTCCAGAAATTCCCAAATTATTTTTCTAAGAAGCTATATAATTTTGGTTTATCTTTCCATCAACCATGTACAAGTGATTCAGTTTCTCCATCCCCTCCACACTTGAAACAAACCCAGGGCTTTGCACACGCTAAGGAAATACTCTACCACTGAGCTACATCCCCAGCTCTCATTTCTCTACATCTTTTCCAGGATTTGTTGTTGTGCTCCATTTCTTTTATTATAACAATTCTGGTAGCTGTGACATGATATTGTATCATGGTTTTTCACTTCCCTAATAGTTAATTATATTAAATTTATGACACATGTTAAATTCTATTCTTGTGTTTGCTTCTTACTAATATTCAGAAGTTAAAAGGAAATAATTAGACACCTAAGACAAGGAAAGGCGTAGCATCGCCTGTAATCACTTGTTACCTACTTTGTAGGGGTAAATTTGGATAAATTAAAATATCTGTTTTCATCCTATCGTGAATTGGCATTTCTTTTCCTTTAGGATTGGGGGTATTGAAGTTTGGACTCGTGCCCTGTGCTTTCACTTGATCTTTCATTCAAGTCTGACACTCTACCACTTGAACCACAGCTCTACTTCAGGCATTTTGGTGGTTAACTGAATATGAGATTCTCATGGACTTTCCTGTCCAGGCTGGCTTTGAACACAGATCCTCAGATCTCAGGATCTGAGTATCTAGGATTGCAGGTGTGAGCCACCCAGCTCTGACTGTGTTTGTAACCCTGTGTTTGGTAAGGAAGCCCTGGAATAAGATGGATGGTGGGGCATATTATCAGGTGTTGGGACGTGTTCCAGAGTGTAGAAGCTGTAGAGGAATATTCCTTACTCACCTTGCCCTCCTGGATGGTAACCACATCAGGCAGCCCACCCAACACCCGGGCACGATCTGCAGATACAAACATTCTTAGTTAATCTCTGCAATGACGAGGGCCAGCAATCATGCTCACAAGACCATCCCAAGGTATGAATTTCCCAATTTAAATTTTCATCTCCTGATAGTCATTTCATACTGTTTTCAATATGCCAAATCAGAAAATGATCTGGTTATGCTGGACTTTAATCCTTCTATGCCCACATATTGTGTATGTGTGCAGGACCCGTAGCTGTACTTAAATTACTACCTTGGGATTGCATAGTCACGTGAAAGCCTGCTCTACAATTTTCATGGCTATTTTCAGCCCTGTCCTTTCTGCAGCTGAGAGGGGCTCGGCTGATGACAGCAGGATACATCTCAATGGATAGCTTCTAAGCTGGGTGTGACCCCTTTCTGGGTTTCCTTATGGCAAACACTGGCTCCATAATAGGAAGGCTGTATGCTGGGTGTTCTGGAGGCTTGTGCAGATAAAGCCTTTCCCAGAGAGCATCCATATTTTTTCTCCTACTAGTTCTTGGCAGTGCTGTGCAGGCCATGGCTCTGACTGTGGATAAAGGCTTCCAGATGAGAGGATAAGGTACAGGATGGGTGCTGAAATCCTAGATTGCTTCCTCAGTCAAGCCACATATTCTGGGTGCAGCTGCCTGAGCTCCTGGGGAAGGCACCTTTCTGAGGTACTCTCCACACAACTTCCTCTTTACCACTAACATAGCCACCAGCCTTGCATTTTTAGGCCTATCTCATGACTTTTGATGTTCGTTTCTACAAATCCCTTCTCCACAGAGTCTGGTTAAAGCTTTGAGTGAGATGACTTCATTCTCCTGGGGGCTCCATTACACCACTTATAAGTCTGGCTCATCCCTGGTTCTCTGTGTGACTTGCTGTGTGATATTAGAGCAGTCACTTGCTGGGTGGGCTATAGTCTCCTGGTTGTAGAATGTATAGGGCTGTATTTGTCTTAGACCTGTGACATTACATTTGCAAACCTGTACCACAGTGTCTGTGGGATTTGCCAGGGCAGCGCGAGAGGCAGTGGGGAAGGGGAGACAGAGATAAGAGCTGGGGCCACATCTCAACTTTAACAGAAGTAAGTTGCTCAGCATTACCTACTTTGTACATTGACTCCATTGGGAAGACTCTATTTGAAGTTACTGTTGTATGGCTCGTAAGAGTATGAAATCTCAGGTCTCCTCTGGTTCTAATGACCTAGAGGGTTGCATTTCTTGTTCTCAGAGGAGTTAAGCACCAGGAGAGGCAGGAAACTGCTCATGGGTGTGGGCTTTGCTCAGTGTGTCTATGGTGGGTGGGGGGCATCCTGCCTACCAGACAAGAAAGGAAGCCCCTCCTGCTCTGGCCCTCCTTGGCCATGCTTCCATACCCAAATGTGTCTCACACATGCAGGGCCTAGCCAGGAAAGGAAAGGGAAGAGGTGGAGGCCAATATAGGGAAGGCTTCAAATTCCTACTTTGGAGGACCTGGAGCAACTGTGGAAGAGGAAGATCATTTTCCTCCTACTCCTCTACTTCTCCTGGTCCTCTTCCCCATCCTCACTTAAGCTTAGGATTCCCTTGACCATATCAACCCTTGGCCATTTTTCAATTCCATCTCCTACACTGAAGAAGCCCAGTTAGTATGGTGGGTGAGTCAGAGACTCCTGGGGTCCTTACAGGGCAATAGGAGTTCTGAAAGTATGTATGCATGAGACCAAGCTGACAGATGTGTAGCAGACTCTTGTTTCTGAGCCTGCAAGACTGGCCAGGTGGGTGTGTTCTAAGAAAAGGATTCCTAGTCCCAGGGGCTCTCAGGAAAATGCACAGTGCTGATTGGGAACAAGCTGCATGACTGCCTAACTGATGTCAGACTGACAAATATTTCTTAATGTTTCTTTTCTTTCAGGAATACACTTTTATCTGACACATTATGTCTTCAAGTCACTATCAATCTCTTGTGTGATTTGCAAGTAAGAGCTTTTCTCAGGCTGTCTGGGTAGCTGAAGTAGGAGCTTGGTGACATTCTGACCATGTAACCTGAGACCTTCTTTCCACAGACATTCTTGAAAGACTAAAATGAAAACATATGTACACCACCTAAGATTTCAAAAAGAAAAGAAATGAGAAAGAAAGAACCTCCTTTCATGTTCCTCCATCTGTAATTACAACAGCAAAGCAAAATTCTGTTGAATTTGCATCAGAGTGTGTGAATGAAGATGGCTTTACTTACTTTTCTCCGCAATGGCAGCTTGTCTGTGGATGAGAGAGACAAACAAACACACAAAGAAGAGTTTTGTTTTAGAGTTACTTCCAAGTAGCTGACCTTGGCTGCATTTCACTGCTGCCGAGACGCTTGGCAGCTCAACATAACAGCTGTAAGCGGGGCTTTTCCTGAACTTGCTGAGACAAAAGACTCTTTCTAGCTAACACGTAGGTGGGTCAGCAGCACACCAGCTTCCGGGGATATTATTGCACAGAAGGGGTGCTGGACAGGAAGGGAACTTACTTTAACCTCTGGAATTCGGCAAATGCTTCATCAAATGCTTTAAGAAAAAGAAGAAGAAAAAAAATTAAGCCTGTTTCCCCTTTTCAGAATTAGTGTGTGTTAATTATACAACGTGATGACTTTCATTGTGATATTTCTGTATATGTGTATATAATAAACTTTGATCATATTAACCCCCTCTCATTATTATTATTATTATTATGTCATTGTACAAAGAGGTTTCAATTCCATAAATCAGGTTATCAGTTCAATGCATCTTGATGAATGTGACCTTTTCCATCTTTCTCCCCCATCTCTCCCAAGCCCATCCTCCTCCCCGTCCCTTATCTTGCTTGTAATTTTTATTTAATGAGCTTCATTATACCTTTTTTTTTTTTTTTTGGGTCCGGTCGTGGGGCCTGAACTCTGGGCCTGGGCGCTGTCCCTCAGCTCTTCAGCTCAAGGCTAGCGCTCTACCCCTTGAGCCACAGCGCCACTTCCGGCTTTTTTCTTTTTGCTTATGTGGTGCTGAGAAATCAAACCCAGGGCCTCATGCATGCAAGGCAAGCGCTCTACCACTGAACCACCTTCCCAGCCCCCAGCTCCTCTATTCTCTTAGCAGATGACAAGAAAACAGGTAACCATAAGGACACAGGCTGATCAACTTCCTTTTCTTCTCATCTGTATGTATTTGTCTCTGCTTCTTCCTACTCATTCTCTTCTAATTTTGCAGAGGCCTCCTACTCTTTTCCAGAGCTGACACTTGTTCCTCTACCCTTGGTAAGGCAGTCCTTCGAAGGAAACTGGTTCATTGGGCACTTTGCTCAGAGGAAAATTGCCATAAACAATTGCTTTTCACTGTCTGTTCTTACAGAAGAGATTGTGAGTCAATTTGCCTGGCTTTGTGAGCATCATCCTGTAAAATCTGTGCTTTCTTTCTACTTTTACCATCTCCACCTTCCTTTCCACTGATTGTCTACCCTTTGGTGCTTTTTCCTATCACCTTGACTGATTAAAACTGCTTTATCAAAGCCATTGTGAATACAATCCATGAAAGGCTATTGTTCTAGACTGGTGCCTGTACTAGGCCCCAACAGACCAGATAAAAGCAGAATGAAGCCATTAATGCCATTTGCCACAATGCCACTTGCCACATAATCAAGCTGAACTTAAAAACAGGGCAGTTAAAAAAATGAGTCACAGTAACCAATCAGAATAGGTTTAGTCATCCAAAGATTGCTAAGGAATCTCCCTATGAGAACAGCTTGAAGAAATCTGATGTGAATTAACCTTTTTTTTTTTTTTTTTGCATGACATAGTTTCCTTGATCCTGCTCATGCTGCTTTACAAAATCCAAATGTTTTTCCATTGCCAACGGAGTATCTTTCTGCTTTCTAAATGGGATGCTGCCTATTCACAATTCTCTAGTAAAATCAATTAGGCTCTGAAACTAAGTTTGTTGAACTTCTGCTCCTTAATATTACCAACATCATCATTCTTTTGATATAATCAAAGTACTGGTTTTTTCATCTTTAGTGGTATTGCTTTACTGCTACACTGAAATGTGAACTCCAGTGCTTGCTGGATTTACTTGTTTTGCTAGCACTCTACCACTTTAGTCATGTCTCTAGCCCAGCTTTTTGCTGGTTAATTGTAGATAAAGTCTTTCAGACTTTTCTTCTCAGGCTGGCTTGAAACCATGATTCTCTAAGCTATCAGCCTTTTGAGTGGCTAGAATAAAAGGCATGACCTACCAGCACTTATTAATTTTTTTTTCCTCTCATTCTTTTGCAAAGACTCATTCTTCTATAGTAAATTTGAACATGCAGAATATCTGTGCTTACCTTGTCCAGAAAGATCCACTGTTTTCTGGTGCCCAGTTTTGCCATCAAAGAGCTCCATTATATATTTCCCTTTATCATTTGGAGTGGGCTCATTGATTTGTAGCCAGATCTGCTCCCCAGTGACCCCACTTTTAACCCTGTCTGTGAACTTAATATCAGTCCCACTGTTAAAATGAAAGAAAGCATTGTTACTGTTTGTTTTCAAGTAGAGACGATACTTTTTCTGTCTCTCATTAAAGGTCATACTATAAACTACTATAGGCATTCAAAAAGCATAACTCCTCTGGGCATTTTTACTAATTATATGATAATTTATATACATATATATTAGTCTTGGGACTTTCATGTGTATCTTTAACTCTGTATCAAAACTTGGGGTAACTCATAATTATTTTTCAAAATTGAGGTATTGAACTGCAATTAATAAACAGGAAAATTCTTCTGTTTCAGAGAAAATATGGGCCTTGAAACATAGCAGCTGGATTCCAAGACCTGGGGTCTGATAGTCTCAACACTTATTTGTTTCTTGTAAGAGCCTATGGCCCCAGGCAAACTACAACACTAATTGGTGAAGTTAATTACCTTTGCTTTTGCTTTAGGATTAAGGAAATCTTTAAAGCTGAAAGGCTAAACTATATACTATTTGGCTGTCTATTTTACAGAAATGAGCTATTATTAACTGGATTTTATAAGCTGGTCAAGAGCACACTTAGGGGGACTCATCTGTGCCTGACATCTCTTGACATATGTTGTTTCAAAGCTGTCTTAAAATGTATGCTAATATGTACTCAAAAGTAGAGCCAAACGAGAAGGAAAAGCAGAGTGGCTGCCAAAAGGAATGTGGCATGTGCTCTGCCCCTGGTTGTGATTCTCCGTATTCTACAGTAGGTCATGAGCAGACACATAAGCTGTGATCTCTGTTAGATAACAAAAGGAAATACAGCTCTTGCTATGGTTAATCAGACTAAATGATACTGTAACAGATGAAGTAAGAAAAAGGCAGGTAGTTATGCTCTCATGCTGCTAAAAGGAACTTCATGAAGAGTTTATAAAGATGTGAAGACATAAGAAAAAGTACAGTATACAAAAACAGAGAAAAGATTGAGAAGAAGTACCAAAAATGCTCACAGAATGGCTACCAATACTATGGATGGTGTCATATTATGAATTCCTTCTACTTCATAATGTAACATCATAAGCGTTATATTAAACAAGCACATTCCAACTTTACTATTGGAATGTAATTCCAAAGATGCACTTTGAAAAACAAAATTTTTCACTGAAAAGCATTAGATTTTATGCAAATATTTATATCATTACATTCTTTGAAGAATATTTCTTCATCTAACTGACAAAGTTTAAAACTTAAAATGCTATAAAATGTTGGATAAAAAAAAACCCATTTGTACTCCACAGACTTCAGCATGAACATACATGGCTTAGAGAGCTGACAGAAAGACTGTTCTATGCTTTGTAATAATGAATATATTGAGTTATTTAATATCCAACTAACATTCATAATGACAATATACCTATATTAAATGCTTCAAACAGCATGTTAATATTTTATATAAAGGGAAGTTGGGAATCATAAAATTATATGACTTGCTAAGATTGCAGGTAAACTCAAGACCAGCAAGTTTCTTTCTTCTTATCCTTCCCCTTCCCCTTCCCCCTCCCCCTCCCCCCCCCCCTCTCCTTCTCCCTCCCCCTCTGCTGCTGCTGCTTCTTCTTCCTCTTTTTCTTCTTCTCCTCCTCCTCCTCTGGGCCTGGGTACTGTCCTGAGCTCTTGAACTCAAGGCTCAAGACTAGTGCTCTGCCACTTGAGCTACAGTGCCACTTCTGGTTTTCTGGTGGTTAATTGGAGATAGTATCCCGGACTTTCCTGCCCACACTGGCTTTGAACCACAATCCTCAGATCTCAGCCTCTTGAGTAGCTAGGATTACAGGTATGAGCCACGGGCGCCCAGCAAGACCAAGTTTCTTTATCATTATGCCACATCCTTGAATCCTAAGTCATTCATAGGCTCAAAAATTCATGAAAAACTCACATAGCTCAGAAGATCAGTGTTGAGAAGTTCATGTCTTACTAGTCTAATAATCATTTTTAAGACATATCACCAATGTTCTCAATTTTTAACTAATTCTTTTAGAGTACATAATAGATTAATGGTTCAACTAATTTTCCTTCTCTCATTCTTCAGAAGGATAAATTAGAATGTTCTGAATGTCACTGAGGAATTTCCTAGAATTTCATTTATTTTATAATTATTTTCCTTAAATATATTCTCAAAGAAACAGAACAAAAGAATGAAACCCCAAGCATTCCATACCAGAATTTTATCACTTCACATTTTCTGAACACAGGAAATGATGAATACTAGTAACAAAACACTATTCAACATACAAGTAAAGGCATTTTAAGGAAAACACAATGGCTGCTTTGTGTGGCTAACTACTCAAACTAGACTGTGTGTGTGTGTGTGTGTGTGTGTGTGTGTGTGCACGTGTGTGAGTGTATATGTTGTTGGTGATTAACCCCAGGGCTTTGTTCATGCTGGATATGTGCACTACCATTGCTCTACCACCAGTCCTAGACTGTTTTTTAAAATTAAGTTTTAACAGATACAGTAACATTGTATATATTAATGGGGCAACATGTTTTTTTGTTTTGAGGCAGTCTTACTATATAGTCTATAATACTATATACAGTTTATCTTGTATATAATATATATACATAGTATATATATATATATACTATCCATGTACATAGTATATATATATGCATTATATATACTATGTATATACTTATGTACATATATACATAAGTATATACATAGTATATATACACTATATAGTATATATGCATAGTATATATAGTTTATATATACTATATATTATATATATTATATACAATATATACGGAATATAGTATATATACTATATGTATATGTGCTCTCTCTCTCTCTCTCTCTCTCTCTATATATATATATATATATTGATCTAGAATATGAGAATCTCCTGCCTCAGCCTACTAAATGCTGGGATAACAGTAACATAACACAATATAATACATTATAACATAAAATAACATATAAAGTATTATGAGGTTAAACATATCTGTCTTCTTCAGCACATTTCTTTCTTTTTTGTTAGTACCAGGGCTTGAACTCAGGGGCCTAGTACTCGTTCAGCTAGCTTACTCACAGCTAGCAGTCTACCATCTAAACTGTGTCTCTGGTCCAGCATTTTGCTAGAGTCTCCTATTTAGCCTCCTGTATATCTAGGATTACAGATGTGAGCCACAGACACCTCGTTTGTCATTTCTTCATTGTGAAAACGTTTAAAAACTTTTCATTTAGCTCTTTAAAATGTATATTACTGTTATTGCTTCTCACTCTTCTCTGTAGTAGCTCACCAGAATTTGAATTTATCTAATTGCAAGCTAACACCTTTTGAGCAACCTCGCCCCATCGTTCCCTTCACTTCATTCTAGCGTTGTCTTGTGACTCGAATGGAATGTGTGTGCCCTGATGAGCTGGATCTGTAGTGAGTTTTCCTGGACACTGCTCTCAACCCACATCTTAGTTGTGTGACTTTGGTTATGTCATTTCCCTGAGCTTGAGCCTTCTCAGCTCTAGGATAAGAAGTACCTATTGCAAAGAGCTGTCACTATGGAATAATTCATAGACCTAAGGACTTGGGGCAGTGACCAACATATGGTCCATGCCTACTGAAGGAAGGAACAATGTAATAAACTGCTATCTGCATCCTCCTGGGGTTGTTACAGGCCTCTCTATTCAGTGGTGCTCTGAAGCATGGTTTTAGTTTCTTCTCTCTTAGAGTTCAGATGACTCTAGGAAGCCAGGAGACAGGGATTGTGAGGATTGGGAAAGAAAGGACTGGTCTGGTTTAGAAACTTATTTTTTCTTGGGATCCTAGACTTAAAGCTGAATGTGATCCCTCTATAAATTCACAAAATAGATCTTCAGGCTCAAACACATATCCAGTTCAAACACATATCCCCGAAGTCATTCTGAGATCTTGAAAGTCTCCAGGGGTAGACAAGAGAGAAACATGCTAATGCCCAGAAGTGAGGCTGGAGATCCATGCAGATGAGGCTTTTTTGGTAAAAGTCCATTAGTTCATGAAACAGGAAATGTGGTACCTCTTGGTGCACACATTTTCAATTTTGTTTGAGACCACAGCACATGTTAACTGTATACAGAATAGGAGGACTGAGAATGTACCTCTAGAGGCCAGACAAAATACACAGCTCCTGCACAACTATCTAGAGACCATCAGTGAAGCCTCCATTACAGAGATGTCTGTGAACTGTGACACTTAGATTATGAAGGAAGAAGTGATCAAAGGGAAAGAGGGAACAAGCCAACTTCGCAATAAGGGGATAGCCTGGTATTTCTGTCCTATGATCCTCAATATTAAACCTGAGAATTAATAACACTCCATATTCCTCTACTCCCCAGTGGAGAAATAATTCCCACACAGCAAATAAGTTTTCATTTACTTACTTGTGGGACCAGTTCACTTTCAAATCATCCAGGTAGTAAGTAACAAAAGAGTATAGTCGGATGCCCTCAGCTGTGCTTTGGATTTTCAGATCAGTAGCAGACAAGGCTGAAAGATGAAAACAATATATTTCATGTAGGGGTAATATATCTGGGTAGGAGAATGATGAAGCATTGCTGAGTTAAGGAAATTAAGACTTACCTATTTTCCGGCATACTTCCGTCATCAGTTCTTTGAAGGCTGTGGATAGAGTTTCATAAAGAAACTTTAATATGAACTTGCTCAATGTAAGGTCAGATATCAAACTATTAGCTGTCAAAAGGTTATGACTAGCTACACCTTGGTGCCTCATACCCAAGCTAACTCAGGAGGATTATATCTGAGGATTCCAGTTTGAAGTCAACTCTGGCAGAAAAATCAATTAATAGCTAGTTAGCAAAAAGAAAAATAAAACAACCTCCCCAAAACAAACAGAAGTGGAGGTATACTTCAAGTGAAAGAGTGCCATTCTTGAGCAAAAAAGCCAAGAAAGAGTGCGAGACCTGAGTACAAACTTCATTACTGGTACACACACATACACACACACACACACACACACACACACACACACACACACACACACAGAGTCATACCTAGTGAAGGGCATTGGACACAAAGTGAATTTATTGATCAATTATAATTAGTGCCCTTTAAAGAAATGACTCAGAGAACTTCTTTGTACAGCTACTTAAAGATAATAAAAATGTTAAAAAGAAATGACTCAATTTTATGATTTAAAAAAACGCCTGCTTATTTTTTATATATTTCCCTCTAATTCTTCATAATTATCAACAGCATATTTACATTCTAAGGAAAGAGCTACAGTCAGTTCCAAGAATGTTCTTGGCTTCAGAATTCTCTTTTTAAGTCCCAGGAAACCTTAGTTCACATTTCAGGAAGTATTCTTATCTATGTCATCAATGCTTAAAATTAACCATCTGGGCCACCTGGCTTTTCTCAGCTTAATAATACTTTTTGCCTCTACCAAGAGTAGGAAGGTAAAAACCAAAGTCAGCCTTTTCTGTTTGTTAGCAATACTGTTAAAAAGTTCTTGTTAAGGAACAAAGTTAGAACTTCAATGAGAGACAGTAGGTTTCCATAATCATTATATATTTGTTCTTAAACATCTTATGAAAAATGTCTTGCTTTGCTAATAACTGCAAGGCTTCAAATTTCATATAAAAATCTTTCCTGTCACCTTTAACAATGGACTATTTTTCAACATATTCCTGACAGAAGGTTTTGATCCTGGAACTTTATTTTGTAGAGTTGAACAAAACTGATTATTTAAATTGAAAACAGACATCTGGTAGACTGTAGATTGTAAATTCTCTGAAGATCAAAAGTATACTTTTGATTTGGAGGCAGAGAAAAAGTGGAATGTTTTTGAGTAAGGCAGTAGTTCACTCTGCTGGAATTTCAATTAAACCAAAATCTGGGGACAAAGAAAGATCAGCATGCCTCCAACTGTCAGTCCAGCCCCAATCATTATCCTAGTAATATGTACTCAGGTCCTCAGATATAGATCCCAACAGTTGGTTGACTGACCTTCATCTACAAGCTTCAATCTGCTCTTATCTTTTCCTCGGTCATCTTTCAGGATAACTTCATAAAAACCAGCATCTTTCTTGGAAAACTAGGAGGAGATTAAATATGCCATATTTCAGCTTATTATTGTTCAGAGTTTGGTGTTTACATTTTTAAGGTGCTTGATTAATGAGCTGCAATGAAAACATACATTGAACAAGCATATAGCCATGCAAATAACAAACAGTTAATAGATGTCTTCCTCCATAATAATTTTCCCAGCTAGTGATCTTGCTTTTTTTCTTTCACTATTTAAGGCTATAATTAATTTGAGCCCAAGGTCTTTAAATATTTTGTTCTGGCTTCACTTAAAAAATAATCATTGTCAGGTGCTGATTGTTCACATCTACAAACCTAGCTATTCAGCATCCTGAGATCTGGTTCACTATTGGACATGTATACATTATCACACAGTGAAAACGCATTTTTGTTCCTGGGCATGAAACAAATATGGAATGTAGTTTCTGTTTGGAGGAGAATGTAGGGCACAAAGCTAACATTTTGCATTCATGACCACCTACCTCTGTTATCAGCAGGGTGCAGATGCCATCCTTAAAGTCATGCTTTTCATCCACTGATATTTCCCTCTCATCTTTATACCAAACAATATGTGTTTCCTTCTTAATATTTGCCACCTGGAAGAAGAACCATAATTACTTTCCTCTAAATAAGGAGACATTGCTTTTATGAAATACAATAGTTGTTGGCACAGCAAGGGAGAAGACACCGATTTCTACGGAAATCAATGAAAAATTATTTTAATAAAGAAAAAGATTATAATAAAGTAGATGCCAATGAGCAAACCTAAGTTAATGGCATCTCATTTCCAGCAGTAAAGACTGACTTGCCTCCTGACTTCCATGATGAACACAGTAATGGTACACTAGCTGGTGGAGCACTCTGTGCTGTGTGTGAATGGACAGCAACCCAAACTGAAATAGAATGGAGCTTGTCACCTGCTGGCAACGTCACCCCGAAGGACTGGAGTGATCAGTAGTCACTCAGCTGGTATAATACCAAATTATTTCAAAACTAACTCATAATTGAGGCCAAGTAAAAGTACCATGCACCAATTAAAATATGACACATTGACAAGATAAAGTCCATTTGGAATCTAAAAAAATGTCACTTAATAAGCTGGGCGTGGTGACAGGAAACTGGGGCCCCAGCATTCAGAAGGCAGGAGGTGGGAGGATCCTTTAAGTAGGGGAGTTCAAGAATAGCCTGGGCAACACAGTGAAGTCAACATTTAAAAACAGTGGAGGGCTGGGAAGGTGGCTTAGTGGTAGAGCACTTGCCTTGCATGCCTGAGGCCCTGGGTTCGATTCCTCAGCACCACATAAGCAAAAAGAAAAAAGCCGGAAGTGGCGCTGTGGCTCAAGTGGTAGAGCGCTAGCCTTGAGCTGAAAAGCTGATGGACAGCGACCAGGCCCAGAGTTCAGGCCCCACAACCGGACCCCCCCCAAAAAATAAATAATAAAAACAGTGGAAAAGAATAGATACTATCATGCACACTTAAATGAAAATAAGAATCTCAAAACCAAAGACAAATTCCATCACTTTAAAATAGTCTATGGTACAATAAACAATGGCTTTATTAAATGAATAGACTGAATAAGTCCCAATTTATACCTAAGAAGTTAATAAAATGTAAATGAAGCTTTATAGATATATGTACAGGGAAAGTATGGTTTAATACATTGATTATTTAGCAGTTTAGAGAAGACCCATTTAGGTCCTGTTATACATATCATTATCAAATAAATTTCAAATAGACTAAACTATCTCATATGGTTAAAGAGATTCCAAGCTTTATCTATGATGGTTGATTTTTTTTTACAACGGAAAACATATTTGTTGTAAAATTAAACTTTCACATAAGATTTCATATAAATGGAGAAAACAACTCTAAGGATTCCCCCCCCACACACACACACTGATTATGTGGTAAAATGTAGGTACAGTTCCTCACGGAGGAAAAATAAATAGATGAAGTAAATGTTTGGTCTCAGTATAAACAAGAACATGCATATTTTACAATATTAAAATATTCAGTTACTAAGTGAACATAAGAACCAATATTGGTAATTGTCATCAAACCTGCATATACAATGACTCCTGATATGTGGAGTCACACTCTGATACCAGGTGACATTGCTTTTATGATTAAAAAAAATAACTGGCTGAAAAATTGCATATGGTCTGGGAAGGACAAGAAAGACTTTGGGCTTCTCTGAGCCCAGCAAGTCTGTAATTAGGACAAATCCCTTGCAAGGATCCTGGATGCTGGCACACTAAGGGAGTAGTCACAGGAGGTGCTGGGTCCTCTAAGCCAGGAGATCTTAAAGCTATGGCAGCTCCTGCACCTGCCCAGTGGGGTACTGTCCTCTTGCCCCTAGGCTGTCATGGGGGTGGAGGGTGGGAGGACAGAGGGAAAACTTCCCATGTGGACTCCTGCAGAGAAGGAATTCCAGAACTTCCTTGCCCTATTCAGTCCTTTGCAGTAGACCAGTGTCAACTGGGGTTGGTGAAAATTTCAGGAGTCTGAACATTTAGCTGCACACACTCCATCACCCACAATGCTGAATTTACATAAATTGCTATAAGAATGCTATCAAGAGGATGCTATCAAGAGGAAGTTTACAGAGATGATTGGGCTGGGTCTTGAGAAATTTTCTGGAGAAGCTGAAAGAAGGCTATTCTAGGCCTTGGAACAGCAACATTAATAAGGGAAATGTGGATATTTGTAACCTATTTCAAGGCAATCTTGATTGTTCAGAATCTGGGGTAGGGGCTGATTCTTCTGAGGAAAACCTCTTCTTAGGACACCAGCACTCCCCTCCCAGCGCAAAAGGTAGCACAGAGGAGGAGGTAGGTGGTTTGTGGGCTGGGGAGGGTATATGAGTGGGAAAGGATGCAAGCACTAGAAAGTATGTAGGAAAGTATGGCAATGGGCAGCCAAGATGACAGAGAGAGAGAGGGGAGGGGGTTAGCTGTTGCCTAAGAAAGGGCTTTCATAAGACTCTGAAACCTAAAATTGATTTTTCTTTTATTCTCTGGCAAGCTACCGTTTCTTCAAATTTATCAGACTTAATAGAGACTGGGGCATTTCGGCTCTGGCTTTTATACTTCAATTGTCTGCCAAATATCAAATCCATGATTCAGTTGGTAACCCTGACCTCACACTCCAATCTCACCCAGTAGTTCCTTCTCCAAAACTTTTTTTTGTTATTATAAAGGTGATGTACAGAGCAGTTATAATTTCATAAGTCAGATAGAATGCATTTCTTTTTGGACAATGTCACCCCTTCCTTCTCTCTCTCCTAAAATCCCATCTCTACCCACAAGTTGTATAGTTTATTTTCAAAATAGTGTCTAGTGAGCACCACTGCTGCATTTGTTCACCCTTTGCTCTTCCATTTCTGTGCCCCTCCGGACTGTTTTTTAATTAAGAAAAAACTTGAGATAGGGAAGGGGTATCTTGATATGTTGTGCAGGTTGGCCTCAAACTCCTAGGCTCAAGCAATCCTCTTGTCTCGGCCTCCAGGGTAGCTGGGACTACCTGTATGTGCCATCATACTTGGCTTCCCCAAAACTTTTTTAACTTGCAGTACTGGGGATTGAACCTAGGACCTCACATTTACTAGGTAAATGCTGTACCACTTAGTTGTATTCCAGGTTCTCTAAAAAAAATTCCAGGTTCTCTAAAAAAAATTTTTTTAATGATTCAGTCAGCTAGAAACCATAGGCAAAGATACAAAAATACTTCAGAATGCTACACAGAATTATTTTCCCTAAATATTTCCAAAGGTTTAATAAGACAATTTGTTTATAAGCTACAAACTTTTTCCTAGGCTTTGCCCCTAAAGGTTCACAAGGGTGAGAATTAGGAATGTAGCTAGTGAGCATTTAAAGTATTGCTGTGTAGCCTAATTGTTCAGAGAGGAAGTTCACCAAAAACGTTGCAGCTGCTATGTGTCTGGTATAGGATGCAAAAACAACGTGAGAAGAGCTGAGAGTGTGGCTTAGTGGTAGACTGCTTGGCTAGAATGCATGAAGCCCTGGGTTTGATTCTTCAGTACCACATTAACAGAAAAACCTGGAAGTGGTGCTGTGGCTCAAATGGTAAAGTGCTAGCCTTGAGCAAAAGAAGCTCAGGGATAATACCCAGGCCCTGAGATCAAGCCCCAGGATTGACAAACAACAACAACAATGAAAACAACCCCAAAAACCCAAAAAGAATGTGAGAGTCTTCTGAGATTAATAGAGAGGCATCCTTAATATGGAACTCCAAAATCCAAAAATGCTTCTAATCTGAAACTTTTTGAATGTTAGGAAACCACAGGTGGAAAACTCCATGGTATAGAACCTTGTTCCATGTGCCCAATTATTATTATTATTTTTTTTTTTGGGTCCGGTCGTGGGCCTGAACTCTGGGCCTGGGCGCTGTCCCTCAGCTCTTCAGCTCAAGGCTAGTGCTCTACCACTTGAGCCACAGCGCCACTTCCAGCTTTTTTTGTTTTGCTTATGTGGTGCTGAGGAATCGAACCCAGGGCCTCATGCATGCAAGGCAAGCGCTCTACCACTGAGCCACCTTCCCAGCCCTGCCCAATTATTTTTAAACAAACTAACAACCAAACAAGTAAATAAGGTGGGTGCTGGTGGTTTCCGCCTGTAATCCTAGATATTTAGGATCCCAATTGGAAATCAGCCCAGGCAGAAAAGTCTGAGACTTTTATCTCCAGTTAGTCAGCTAAAATCCAGATGTAGAGGTATGGCCCAAGTGGGAGAGCACCAACATTGCACAAAAAACAACTATCAGAGCACAAGACCTTGAGCTGAAGCACAATTAACCAATCAACAATCTATAATAAAATATAATATTGTATCAAAGTACTCTCAGTCTATATAGGCAGTATAAATAAATTCTATGTTTATACTTACATTATACTCTAAGATAGATCATTATATATGGCAAATATTCCAAAATCTTAATCCAAAATTTGGGACATTTCTGGCTGCAAATCATTTTAAATAAAACATATTTAACCTGTGATTCAGAGTTCATATCTTTATTAAATAGGTCATAGGTAACGTGTAGTCTTACTGACTAATGGTTACTGACTAATAGTTACTGACTAATGATTACATTGACATTCAACATTAAGGATATGTTGATTATCATTTTGGTTCATAGAGAAGCAAATAATGGATATTTTTCACTTCTACATTCTATTTTTCTTTAGTATGATCAAATATTAAACTCTCTTACCTTGCATTTCAATAGTACATTACATTCACCAGTCACTTCCCAGCTCAAATACTCAGCAAAATGTGGACCTATAAAATTTTAATGATACAAGCAATCACATTATCAATCACAAATGAAAAATCAAAGTCATCTTAAGTGCTACGGTGATTAATGATTGAAGCTACAGATTCTGTTTTCAGATATTTTAGTGGCTATATATTTAATAAAAACTATTTTTAATTGTTATTTATCAGCCATTAGGATAATCAATTCTGTAATTTGTGATACAAATCAATTGTAATTTGTGATACAAACAATATTGGAATATTTTATACAACAAATGAAAAGTTTCTTTTTAGTTGGCCTATTTTTACCTTGCTTCCTGATCCATTCTTGCCGCTGGAATTCTGCTTCTTTCTGGAGTTCTTTATAAACTAGAAATTGAAAAACAAGGTAATATGAAATTGAGTTGAGCAGCAGAAATGCAAATGTGAGCTAAATGGTTTCTATTCATTACTATAACATTATTCATTCATGGTAATGACCATAGTTGTTTTGATTTGTGTGTGTGTGTGTGTGTGTGTGTGTGTGTGTGTGTGTGTGTGGTCGCTGATCTGGGGTTTGAACTTGGGGTCTAGTTGCTGTCCTTGAGCTTTTGTTGCTCAAGGCTAGCACTCTTTTATTTGAGCCACAGCTCCATTTCTGACTTTTTGATAGACAATCTCATGGAATTTCTTACTAAGGTTGATTTTGAACCATGATCCTCAGATCTGAGTCTCCTGAGTACCTATGATTACAGGCATGTACCACCCTCTGGCTATGCTTTGCTTTTTTGACCATGAAGAAATAGGATTGAAAAGGTTAAAAAAAAACTTTGCCATGGTCATAAAATGAGGAAATAGTCATCATTACGGGATGTCACAAATGTAGAGATCTGGCAGCCTCTCCAATACTAAAGGCTACATTTTAAGTTCTCTTGGTTTATGGAAGCCTACAATGACAACCTAGTTATAATGTATGATTAACAGATTTGGCTTGTAATACTTGTGCATGTTTTTTTTCTCAGTTCAGTAACTTAGAGTAAGTACACATTGTAAAACAGAATCATCGTTTATTCCTGAGACACATATACAGTCTCAGTTCTATTATAATCTTTTTCACAGGAGAAGGTTAGTAGTAAGTACTGGCTTATATATGAGACTAGTGAGGTGCAGCCTTGCCAGAGGAATAGAAGTAAATTTGGTGTTCTCTCTGTGTGTGTGTGTGTGTGTGTGTGTGTGTGTGTGTGTAGTGGTCGAGATACTTGAACTCAGAGCATGAGTGCTGTCCTGAGCTTTTTCACTCAAGGCTGGTGCTCTACTACTTGAGTTACAGTGCCACTTTCAATTTTCTGGTGGTTAATTGGCGATAAAAGTCTCATGGTCTTTCCTGCCCTTGAACTGCAGTCCTCAGATCTCAGCCTCCTGAGTAGGTAGGATTACAGGTGTGAGCTACCTACCAGTGTTTGACTTGGTGTTCTTTTAAATTAATGTTCACTTCTGTGAAATGAAATATAGTGGAAAGCATTAACTAGGTATAGCATTTTGATCATAGGAATTTAAGTAAGAAACAATTCTTATTATCTTCCTCAGTATGCCTTTTATGTCATGTATTTTCACTGAAGCATGTATCAAAATGTTGTAGTTAATGTTTCTTGAAGTTCTTACCATCTCCAATGAGGACCAGAGTAGAATGACCAGTTGCTTTTCCATCTTGAATCTGGAAAGTATATGTTCCCTCATCCTCATCCTGTAGCTTTTCCATGAACATTTCAATTATGCCAGTGTTTCGGTCAATATGCATCTTGTATTTCTTCAATGTGAAAAGACAGAGATAGAGACATCAGTAAGGTAGGCATTTTACCTAGATAGTAATAACCTTAATAAAATAAAGACAAACTCCAAAGAAATATAACTTTAATATTTCTTCACGACTAAGCAAGTCCCTTAAAAATTCGTATGTGGTATACAACCTAGACCAGAATTTATTGAATAGTTTGAAGTTTAATTTCTTTAGTCTAAATAAAAATTCATTACCCTATATTACAAAATTCTATCAAAAAGTTGTCTTAGATTGCCATTTTATCTTCCAGATTATATTATTGTGTGTGTGTGTGTGTGTGTGTGTGTGTGTGTGCCACCCCTGGGGTTTGAACTCAGGGCCTAGGCACTGTCTCTGAGCTTTTTTGCTCAAGGCTAGCACTATAGCACCTGAGCTACAACTCCACTTTCAGCTTTTTGGTGGTTAATTAAAAATCAGAGTTTCAAGACGGGCGCTGGTGGCTCACGCCTGTAATCCTAGCTACTCAGGAGGCTGAGATCTGAGGATCGCGGTTCAAAGCCAGCCCGGGCAGGAGAGACTGTAAGACTCCTATCTCCAATAAACCACCAGAAAACCGGAAGTGGCGCTGTAGTTCGAGTGGTAGAGAGCTCGCCTTGAGCTGAAGAGCTGAGGGACAGCGCCCAGGCCCAGAGTTCAAGCCCCATGACCGACAAAAAAAAAAAAAAAAAATCAGAGTTTCACAGACTTTCCTGCTCGGTCTAGCTTTGAAATGCAATCCTATGTCTCAGTCTCCTCAGTAGCTAGGATTATAGGCATGAATGAGGTAGGTTACATTATGCTTAACTAGCAGAATAATATAAAACTATGCAGCTAGGGAGGAACATGTTCCTCACTGCTATATCTTCTGCATCTAACACTGTATGGTAAATACATAGTAGGAAATCAGTAAATTACCTGCTAAATTAAGATGTGAATAAAAGTGCTTTAAAAGCCTTTGAAATCTACTTACTCTTAATGAACTAAAATAGCCCTATTGGACTCTTTTTATTTTATTGCTTTGTTTAACCACGCTTTTATTTTTTAGCATGTAAAGATAAACCTTAGTCCTCAGGGATATAGGCACAAATTCTATAGCAATTCTGAATTGATTAAGGGTTTTTGTTTTTGTTTTTTGCTGGTCCTGGAGCTTGAATTCAGGGGCCTGAGCACTGTCCTTGAGCCGCTCTGTGCTCAAGGCTATTGCTCTACCACTTGAGCCACAGTACCACTTCCCGCCTTTTTTGTTTATGTGGTACCGAGGAATGGAATGAAGGACTTCATGCATGCTAGACAAGCACTCTACCGCTAAGCCACATTCCCAGTCTACTTGATTAAGTTTTGCTATAAAACATATCATGGAATGAAGGCTCAAATCATGGAGCAACTCTATCCCAATTCTTTTTTTTTTTTGGTCCAGTCATGGGGCTTGAACTCTGGGCCTGGGCACTGTCCCTCAGCTGTTCAGCTCAAGGCTAGCGCTCTACCACTTGAGCCCAGCGCCACTTCTGGCTTTTTTTTTTTCTTTTTGCTTATGTGGTGCTGAGGAATTGAACCCAGGGCCTCAGGTATGCAAGGCAAGCGCTCTACCACTGAGCCACCTTCCCAGCCCCCACTATCCCAATTCTTATACCCCATAGCCTCTCTTGCAGGAAGCTAGTATCCAGTTGAGGCCAATATTTTATTAGCTTTCTTCTAGTTTAGCTTGCTTCTTCCCCCACCCCACCCAGTTTCTCCTCAAAGGAATGCCCAGTAAACCACGAACAAAAAACTCTCATATTCTCTTTATAAGGATCCTGATGTAATATTTTAAAAATATCATTCAATGAATGGGAAGCACAGAAATGGTGAGACAAGGGGTAAACAAATGCAACAGTGATATTCAATAGACACTGTTGAAAGATGAACTATCCAACTTGTGGGGGAGGAGAGTGGAGAGGAAAAATCGGGGAGAAAACAAGGGAAGAGGGGACACTGTTCACAAAGAAAAGTACCCATTACCTGACCTACGTAACTGTAGCCCCTCTGTACATTACTTTTACAATAAAAATAAATGTAATCATTTTTTCAAAAATCGCTCAAAGAAAAGAGAAAGAGGTGCTAAAAAATCCAAGTCACTCCTCCTCACCCTTTTAGCTTCTCATTCACACCCATGACAGTATAGGGGAGGACCAGGCCTCCTGAAGCCCAGTTCTTCACACCACTTGAGCACTGGCTCAAATATGTCTTTTATGATATCTATGGGAGGAGAAATGAAGCTCAGATGCTGTAGCTTTATGTATAAAAATTGTTTGTATTAAAAGCAAATGAATAGCTCAATAGCTATGTACATATGTCCATGTAAGATGAGGTTAACCAAAATGAACCCCAAGATATGGACATAAGAGGTTTCTTTGTTGTTGTTGTTAATGTACTATGTGATTTCTTTTGTGTGTTTTCTCCCCTTATGGATTATCCCCTGCTGTCACGGTATCTGATTTTGGTACACTGGGTATGGTATATATGTTAATCTGAATTAGGGAAGGGAAGAGGAACAACAAAATGGTGAGACAAAGGACAAAGAGGGAACCAATGTACAGTGGTACTCACAAGACAACATATTGGAAATGATCTGTACAAACTGGGGGGATATTGGGAGAGAGGGAAAGTGGGGAAAAAATGAGGGAGGGGATAATAAGTTGGATAAGAAATGTACTCACTACCTTACTTATGTAACCACTCTGTACATCACCTTGACAATTAAAAAAAGGAAGAAAAAAAGAAAATGGTGAAACAAAGGACAAAAGGGGAACCAATGCAACAGCGATACTCACAAGATAATATGTTGGAAATGAATTGTACAAGTGGGGGACATGGAGGGGGAAAAGGAAAGTGGGAGAAAAATGAGGGAGGGGGTAACAAGTTTGACAAAAAATATACTTTCTACCCTACTTATGTAATTGTAACCCCTCTGTACATCACCTTGACAATAAATTTTTTTAAAAAGCCAAAATAAAGCAAATGGAATAGCATTCTATAATCCATACATACAGAGATAAGACAGCCAATGAAAATAACACACACACACACACAATCCCGTTTAAGTCCAAAAGTAAATACAATTTTGCATCGCAAGTTGTAAGAATGTGTGTTTTGTCCTTTTTGTACCTTCATAGTTGGGTGCAATAAGGACATACTGTATTTTAAACCAGAAAGGCCACAACAAAGTTTCTCACTGCATTTTCCTGAGCTTCTAGAACAAAAGGTCTGTTTTCTTCATGTAAGTGTCATGTCTGTTGGGAGTGTCAATGTGAATAGCCTTCATCTCTTTTAACAATACATTTAAAAAAAACAAACCACTCATTTATGCAATAAACACAGCTATTGACAAAACAAAAAAACAAACAAACCAAAACTGTGCTTTTTGAGAGGATATGAAGTATTTTCCGTTATTTACCAAGCAGTGAGAAGCTGTGAATTCAGGCAAGGGTGTCTTCACCTGCCCAGGCAAAAGCAGCTCTGTATTCAGGGGTGATCATATTTCTTTTTTTTGGGGGGGGCATCCGGTTGTGGGGCCTGAACTCTGGGCCTGGGCGCTGTCCCTCAGCTCTTCAGCTCAAGGCTAGCGCTCTACCACCTGAGCCACAGTGCCACTTCCGGCTTTTTTCTTTTTGCTTATGTGATGCTGAGGAATCGAACCCAGGGCCTCAGGCATACAAGGCAAGTGCTCTACCACTGAGCCATCTTCCCAGCCCCGAGTGATCATATTTCTGAGTTTGCCTGAATAGTTTTAGTTTATGACTACTGTCTGGAATTTTTTTTAAATAGCACCCCTTTTCATTCTCCAAAGTGTTCTGGTTTAGGTAATACAATATAATCAATCTCTATTTTCCTGTTGCAGTTTTACATGCAAGAATAATTCCAATCCCACAATCTTCTGCTCAGCAGTTCTCATCCCAACAGAAAAAAAATGAAAAATTATAAGACCTACCGGCCCCTCAAAAATTTCCTTTTCATTAAATATGTAGTTAACTTTGGCATTGCCTGACAGCTTCTCAGCCTGCATCCAAAACCGGACCTGACCTTTCTCCAAAATTTCAACTGCCAACTCTGATTTAGATGGAACAGCTGTGGAAAATGAAAACAAACATAGTAAGTAATTATACTGCTAGGCATTTGTATTGGTATGGATTTCCAGCAAGTAAAAAGACCATTAGGGAAAAAGATGACAAAGTCCTGTACTTCTTGGGATATAAGACCTAGGTCATTTGTCTCTGAATTACAGTCATGTAAAAATGAGGAGGGTGAATTTCCCCCTAAAGGCAAGTTAGGTGTAGTACTGGGAGTTGAATCTGACTTTGTGTTTGCCTACCACTTGAGCCAGGCCTCCTGCCCTTTTACTTTTAGCTGAGTAACTGGGATTATAGGCATCACACCTAACCTTCTAGAGTACTTCTAGCTAACAGCTTTGGTTTGGTTAGGGTTCTTCAAGGGAGATAATAAGATATGATGGAAATAGTCTGAGATGGCCCCGTACATCTGGTTTAATTCGAAGTCTGCTATAACAAATGAAGTGCCGTTAGGTAGGTTATTTTGAGTCCTTAGCCCTCACTGACTTGTCTATAAATAATGGAATTAAAATAAGCATGTGGATTAGTCAAGACATTTTCCAGCTATAAGAACTAAGGTTTAGTATCTTAGAAAGGAATTGCATTTTGTTTCATTTCAAATAATTTTAACTCAATTTAGTTTCTTCCAAGTGTTTTTTTAAATCCTTTTTTATCTTTTGGTACTAGAGTTTGAACCTAGGGCCTTATACATGCTACTAGGCAAGTACTCTACCACTTGCACCAACCCCCCGCCCCACCCTTTTACTTTATATTTTGGGTTCTTTTACATTAGATCTTGATCACTTTGACCAGATTGACCTTGATCTCTCTTTTTTTCCTGCCTCAGTCTCAATAGATTAAATCAGTCTTAAAAAGTGAATTAATTTTGGGTGGTAGAAGGTGTGTTGGTGAAAATAAGATGTGTTTTTAAATGTTTTATTAAATAAGATTAAAAATTAATTTTGACTACACTATCAGCCCTACGTATCCACAAACCTATAGCCCTCCATATTACATCCGTAAATTCAATCAACCATGGATAGAATATATTTTTAAAGTTGCATCTGTGCTGAACATGTATAAGTTTTGTAATTATTCCCTAAATGATACAGTAGAACAATTATGTACATGGTATTGTATTATACATTATAAGTAATATATGGGTTATTTAAACATAAGGGAGAATGTGGGTACATTCTATACAAGTATTATGCCATTTTATGTCTTTGGGATTTTGGTTTCCATAAAGGGTCCTGGAACTAATCCCCCATGGATACTGAGGGATGACTATATACTCAGGTTCATCATTTAAATCCTATCCATCCCAATGATATACTAACTGACTGTGATCCCAGGAACAAGAAAAATTCTTCAGAGGCAAACAAGTGAGTTACTATTGAGAAGTGATATTGAAATAGAGTATGGTTTTCTTCACCTAGAAGATGAATTGACATATGGTATCTAATCCATACCTGTGTTGTCTAAGCCATTTGAATTCCAGTGAAATTTTAAAGGTTGGCTGACATCAGGATTAGATTTTAAATCTCTTGGAACTTTCAGTGTTCTTTAGAATAGCTCCTCCAGTCATAGCTGTGTAAAGACAAGACTCCAGGGCACATTTGGTAGGAAAGCATAGCCCTTTCTCACTGATTAGTAGCTTTTAACTTTCTCTAGGGGAAATCATTGCCCTTCACTTCCTCTGAACTGTTCTAAAACTATTTCAAAAATTTGGTATGTACTGTATTTTCAATTATAAGCTTCCTAAATGTGTACCAAATGTATAGCAATATTTTTGTAGTTATCCTAAAATTTTCCTTTTCAAGGTTCAAGGGATACCTTTCTTTTTCATTTTCCCCTATTCCACTATAAAAGTCAGTCATAGATTAATTTTTCTCCTGCTTCAGAACTGAAAGGAAACCCAGAAAACATCTACCAATTACTATTGAGGGATAAATGGCTTGGCTATAAAATGAACCTCACAGGCACATGTGTTGTACACATGATCCCAGTTGGCAATGCTATTTTGAGAACTTCTGGGGGACTAGCTGGAGGAAGTAGGTCAATGGCAGCGTGTTATTGAAGGCTATGTCTTGTCCTGTGCCCCTGTCTGTCTATCCCTCTCTGCTTCCTATCACTATAAGGTGAATAGCCTCTTCCTCCATACGCTTTAACCATGGTGAGTTCTGCTTCACCATAAGACCAGAATCAAGGGAGCCAAGGACTATAGACTGAGTCTTCTGAAATGATGAGCCAAAATAAAAAGAATTCCTTCTCTTAAGTTGTTTTTGTCAGGTATTTGGCATATCAAAGAGAACAGCCAACTGCTGCGGGACTGCATAAGCTTTGGAGTTTACTATGGTCTTGAATAGCTGCTGTCCTCTTAAGTCAGTGTTTTCACATGCTAAGATGGATAGTATATACCTCACAATGCTATTAATATGAGTAACTATAGTAAGAATAAATTAAGATATTGTGAATAATGGTCACTGCTCAAGAAACTTAGTTTTCTCCATCCCCACTTCAATTTTACCGATGAGAAAACTGAACCCAAGGATAAATCAGGGATATAGAATTGATTCCAGAATTGTTCTCTCTGATAAGCACTAGTAGTTTCCAGTGTGAGTAGATCATCTGAATAAAGATCCCAAGATAGCAAGAGCAGAGGCTAAAGTTTCTCCCTACAAGACATTTATGCTTGCTCTGTCTTGATAAGTGTTGAATATTTATTCTAAAGTTGGGCACCGGTGTGAACTTGTAATCCTAGCTACTCAGGAGGTTGAGATCTGAGGATTGAGGTTTGAAGCCAGTAAGGGAAGAAAAGTCTGTGAGACTCATCTCCAATTAACCAGCAAAAGCCAGAAGTAGAGGTATGGCTCACATGGTAGAACACCAGCCTTGAGCTAAGTGAGAACTCAAGACTTGCAGTTCAAGCCCTAGTGCCAGCATTCCATAAAAGTCTCTTCTAGAGAAGCCTGGATACCCCATTCTGAGGACAGCAAGAATGTAGACTAGAATGGAAAGATGGATCCTTCTGAAAGGCTCCAGTTCCCATACAGTCACTGACCTCCCTGAGTCATAAGCATATCCTCTGGGGGATAAAGGTGAGTCTGAGTGGTCCCAGACAGCACAAGGTAAACATGGCAGGTGCACACATAACAGTCCATGATGTGGTTAGGGGAAATGGCACTAGAGCAAGACCATTTACTCTTCACCAGCTGTATGGAATTGATTTAGTTACTTAACTTCCCAAGGTTTCATATTCTTCACCAGTAAAATAAGTCATCATAGTCCTGACACTTTCAAAGAAATTACAAAGTTCAAATGCAGGTGGCTCAGTGGTAGTATGCTTGCCTTGCATGCATGAGGCCCTGTGTTCAATTTCACAGCACCACATAAGCAGAAAAAGCTTGAAGTGGCACTGTGGCTCAAGTGGTAGAGCGCTAGGCTTGAGCTGAAGAACTGATGGACAGCACCCAGGCCCAGAGTTCAGGCTCCAGATTGACAAATAAATAAATAAATGCCCTATAAGGATCCTGATACATAATAAGCACTTTAGAAATGTTGGTTGTCCATATTTGGGGTGGTGGGGGGCACACACATGCGTGTGCACAAATGTGCCAGTACTGTGGCTTGAACTTAGGGACTAGGGCTCTTGGTTGGCTTTTTCACTCACTGCTGAAACTCTACTCTTTGAGCCATACCTCCACTTCTGGCTTTTTGCTGGTTAACTGGAGATAAGAGTTGCATGGATTTGTCTACCCAGACTGATTTGAAACTTCAATTCTCAGATCTCAGTTTCCTGAGTGGCTAGGATAATACAGGACCCACTAGCTTCTGACTTCTTGGAGTTTTTTTCTTTCTGAGTTGCTTCAAAAGTATCCTATAAATACCGAATGTCAAATACAACGCGTTGCCAACTAAAATACATCTATGTTTACATATATACTTTGTGTCAAGCTAAGGACATATTATCTGTGTAGGTAGTAATAATGAATGTCTACAAACAAAGAGAGATTACACAGGATGTTGGTAATACTGAAATGTACTCTCCACCCTCAGATGAGCAACATAGCATTAACACTAGCAAGGCAGGCTAAATTATTTTCTATATTTAGCTTTATGCCCATGTATCTTTTTATTCATATTTAAATTTTCTGCTCTGGAAGTTAATTTGCTTCTGGCAAACTATGTTATTTGTAGGTTTAAGGCATGTACTTAAAGGCTTTCAAAAATATTTTGAAACCACCTTAACAGAGAGGAATTTTTGGTGCCAAAAGATAAGGGAAAATCATACTCTTTCTGATATTCTGTAAGAAATGAGACCATTCAAAACTTATTAATCAAGAAAAGGACTTAATTAACATGGCAGGCTTGATTGACAGTGAGTATAAATTGAGAAACCAGAAGTTGATTCTATCTGCAGATCTCTGAAAATATTCCTAGTGAAAGAAAGTTCATATAGGGAAGAAAAGTACCAGAACTTAATTAAAATGCTGCTTCAGTGGGCTTTCAAAATTTTCACTAGGTTGGGAGTTTTAATCATATTTTTGGGGTCCTGCTCAGTGTTTACTAAGCTGGTACATACAGCAGTAGGTCACAAATCCCAAATACTTAAGTTTGCTGCACCAACAATTAGAGTCTTCAAGCTTGGGCAAGATAAAATATCTCAAAGTATACTAGTTATTACAAATAAGGGAAACCATGGGACCTATGTTTCTTTGGGCCTGGCTTACTTCACTTAATAGAATTTTTTCCAAGCCTTTCCATTTCCTCACAAATGGGGCAATGTCATTCTTTCTGTTGGAGGCATAAAATTCCATTGTGTATATATAACACATTTTCTTGATCCATTCATCCACTGAGGGGCATCTGGGTTGGTTCCATATCTTAGCTATGGTAAATAATGCTGCAATAAACATAGTCGTGCTGGTAGCTTTAGTGTGGTCTTGTTTATGATCATTTGGATAAATGCCCAAAAGTGGGATTGCTGGTTCATAGGGGAGCTCTATGTGGAGTCTTTTGAGGAACCTCCATACTGCTTTCCAAAGTGGTTGAACAAGTTCACACTCCCACCAACAATGCAGTAAGGTTCCCTTCTGTCCACATCCCCTCCAGCATCTGTTGTTATTTGATGTTGGTATGATTTGTGGAGGGGAAGGGAAAAAACAAATAGTTTAAATAGGGATACAGGTGGACCCATTGCAATAATGAGATGTACAAGTCGTTATGTCGAAAAACGAACTTTACGGGCTGGGAAGGTGGCTCAGTGGTAGAGTGCTTGCCTTGCATGCATGAGGCCCTTGGTTCGATTCCCCAGCACCACATAAGCAAAAAGAAAAAAAGCTGGAAATGGTGCTGTGGCTCAAGTAGTAGAGCACTAGCCTTGAGCTAAAGAGCTGAGGGACAGCACCCAGGCCCAGAGTTCAGGCCTCACGACCAGACCCCCCCCCAAAAAAAGAAAAACGAACTTTACAACTTTGGTGGGGGGGGGGAGGATTAGGCAGGAGGGGTGGGGGGATGGGAAAGGGAAACAAAGGAGGAGGCTACAATGCTTGATAAGAAATGTACTCATTATCTTGCCCATGTAATTGTAACCCCTCTGTACAGTATTTTCACAATAAAAAAAGAAATATCAAGAAAAAAAATCTTAAAGTAACTAACAGTGACAATCATCAGTTATAACTGCCTTATTTCCATCTCCACGTTCAGATGATCATTGAACTCTGTCCAATAACTCTCCCTCTGGGAAGGCCCAGGCAACTTGAATACAACAGTGACACTGTCTTGACTTCTCTCATCCTCATCCTTTAAGCTGAATGTAAATGTTATTGTGGAGAGGGCACTGCCCAAGTACTTAACCAATATTTATTGTCTGACTAACTAAGTTAGTAGATGCTGCTATTTCTCTCCATTTCTACCATTATTTGGGAGTAGATAATACAAATCTTCTACATGGTTTGGAGACAGCATTGTATTAGGTGTTGTAAACTTACAAGTGCCATTTCTGGAAAAGACACAAAGGCACAGGGAAATGTAAGCTTCTCTGTTCACAGGGTTAGCTGAAACTTACAGCACAGAGTCTCCAGGGAAATCTCTATCTTCCCACACAACATTTCAGAGTTAACTTTTGAAACATCACTTGTGATACTGTTTTTCCAGTTGAATGGTGAATAGGCATACAGATGAAAATAGCTTGACTAATGCCACATGGCAGGTTTTCTCTTAGGTCTCAGAAGTCTACACCTACACATTCAACCCCCCATAGGTACTCCACAGTGCTGCAACATCCAAACTCACTATCAGCCAATCATTTCTGGGTAGGTAAGAAAAACTAGCTTCTACAGCAGTATTTTTAAAAAATCACAACCTCCACTGAGAATTTAGGGAGATCTCTAAATCCTCTCCCCAGGAAAGAAAAGTCCATGTACAAATATATAAAATTTTGTCCATAGTCTAGAATAGGGATATAAGTTGTGTTCTTTTGCTTATTTTCTGTTTTTGAGTTGTTTTTATTTTTTGTTACTGATGATTAAACTCAGGGCTTCATACTTGTTAGTCAAGGGAAAAGACTATTTTAATGAAAAAATAGTTAAGTATTTAGGAATTCCTTTAAATTCTTAATTTAAGAGGCTTTTTAAAACCACTTCCAATTTATTTTCTCAAATTCTAGGCTGTGTTTTTCTGGTTACTTCACTAGTTTGACCACAGGATAAAAGATCCTATCAGGCCAATGGAACCTTTCGAGTGTTATTTCAGACTTTCTCTTTCTTTAGGTGTCAATTGTTCAGTTTAATCTTTTATACAAAAGTTGCTTTATTTATCAGGTTATAAATAGTTCAGAAGGATTCTATTTCTTAGATCTCCTTACCCTATTTTCCAAGTGTTTAAAATCTTAGGTACTGTCTTTAGATTACCTTTATTTAGAGGGATGATTCTTCTATCAAGGGCTAATTTTACTTAAGGTGTGTGTGTGTGTGTGTGTGTGTGTGTGTGTGTGTGTGTGTGTGTAATTTCAAAATATGTAAGCAACAAAGGAAGAACTTCATAACTCAGATGTTATACCTATGTATCCTGGCACCTCTCTGTACAATAATGAAGGATGAGGATATTTTTCTATGTTATCTTAGTTTCTCTAGAGAACAAAGGCCAAGAAAAGAAGAACTTCTAGAAAGTGCTTCTGTAGCACTGATAGGCAATCCATTACACATTTCTAAGAGCTTTTTCTATTGATCTTGTCAAAGCTGTCACCTGATTTACTATAGAAGTTACTCCACAGTAAGATTGCTAAAAATACGTGAATGTATTGTGGCCACTTACTTGGGAACTTGTGTTCCTGGCTGAGAGCAAGCAAACGTTTCATTTCTGTAGGGAGAAAAGAGAACAATTACACTCTAACCTGTTAAAACAAATGGTCCTTAAGAACAGCAGATAAATCAAAGCAATATCATACTTGTGAGGGCAAAGGTTTTAAACATACCTGCTTCATCTATTAGGTAGCTTGATGCTATTCCATCAGTGTCTGTTACATCGCAAGAGTAAATGCCTAAGTCATCGGTCCCGAGGTCTTTGAAAGTCAGTTTTGTCCTGAAGAACAATTTTTTTTCTTAGAAATAAAGCTGTACTGGGTCTAGAAAACTGTCACTGACTATATCTCTAGGCACCCACAGGCAGGACTCCTTTCATTTGGGATGCTTGTCCTCTGCTCCTGCTGAGCAAAGCCTACCCATTCTTGTTATCTCAAGATAAATGTCATTTCTACTAGAAAGACTGTCCTGCTTCTTCCCAGGGGATGATGGTGATGGGAAGGGGCTGATAAAAGTTCCTAATCTACAAACCATGTTATATATTAACACACATCAGGCACAAAGGTATTTGGCTTGTTAGCCCTTGCTGAGGAGCCTAGATTTTTATCCTATAGGGCAAAATGTGCTCTACCTTTCTTTGGGTTCTTCTTCACTCTTATCCTCTACACTTCCCTTTTCAGAAGTGATTATATACCACTGAGATTATCCCCAATGTACAATTACTGTGCTGTCAAAGATGTTTTCCTTTGTGCTTTGTTGCATCTCTACTACACTGGACCTTGTATAACACATAACTTGTGTCATGAATAAATGATACGTTATTAGTCAAGTTCATTGTGTTTTCTAACTTTGGCAAGTTTTATCACTAGTTAATGGCTAATATCAACTATACATTTGGATGCTAAGTCCACAAACTAGAAGAAAGTTTATAGTTTGACTGTGTTTTCTTTAAGAAAATGTGTTGTACCACAAGACCTTTGGAAGGTGTTTTAAAAAGGATTTTTATTTTTAAGATTTATAGTGAGTTGAAGGTTTTATAATGCTAGCTATAAAATACTTGTGACTTTATCCTCTTATTGCAAGAAAAGTAAGCAGAAATGAGTGAGTTTACTTCATGCTCCTACAATGGGAAGGACACCTGTTAGGATGGAAATAATCTTACTTGTTGCCTTTGCTTTCCACTTCTAATCGTGCAGAATCCTCAGTAGATACATAATCTTTGGACCAAGTGAATTCTGACTTTGGAGTCATCTGATCACATTCAAAGTTCAATGAAATAACTCCATCATCATCCACATTTACAACCACCTCTTTGGTTCCTAGAAGATCAAAAAAAGTCTCTGATACATTGCAGTAGAAATCAACCAAGTTGATTGATTGATTTGGAAAGCATCCCCAACTTTGGGATGCTTTACTTAAGCTTTAAAGCAAGGCATTGTGATTAGGTAAGGGGAAAGACACAACTGCTTAGTAAAGGACTAAGAAAAAAATGTTTAAATAAGGATACAGGTTGACCCATTGTAACAATGAGATGTACAAAACACTATGTTGAAAACGAACTTTACGACTTTGACAAGGCAGGGCAGGGGATTAGTTGTGAAGGTGGGAGGGCAGAGATGGTAGGGGGAAAACAAAAGAGGAGGCAACAATGCTCAATAGGAAATGTACTCATTACCTTGCTCGTGTAACTGTAACCCCTCTGTACAGCATTTTTACAATAAAATCATACCAAAAATTGGTATTATGATAATACAGTTGTGAGAAGGGACTGATGATAATCAAGGGGCATGGCAGTGTTGGGAATGTCCCTTATCAGGCCTTACTTCATAACTCTACTTCAATAATGCCCATACCCAGTCAGTCTTTAGGAAGGAATAGAAAGAGATTAAAGAAACCAGATGGAATTTGAAGGAGGAAAATAGAACAGAATTGACTGTATTCACACACTTAAGTTTGTGTTATTTTAAAAGAGAAAACTATACAGGAACTTTATGTTAGAATGACAACAATCTTAAAAAGACTGTTATTGAACTACATGGAAATGAGCTAAAGTGATTGGCTGTGTTTCAAGAAGATAGGTTTGGGGATTTTAAAAAGAAAATTCGTTCATGTATTCAGTTATTTTATTTTTGAGGTTTACAATAAATTGCATCTGTAGCAATTACAGCAATTCATAGAGAGTACAACTTACGAAACATTCACAGCATGTCTAACTTCAGTAGGACAAAAACTAACTGTACTATCAAATTTATACTCATTCAGTTGCCAGCCTAAACCTGGTTTATTTCAGTATATTAGGAAAATTGTATTTAGTCTCAGAAAGGTATAGCTTTAGTTATGAAAAAACATTAAAGAAACCTTCCCATAGATTTTTCCCAGTGGAATGATGTTTTCTCTGTAGATTGTAGAGTAAGGTCCAACATCCTGTCCTAGTGCTCAATAAAACTTATCAGAAAGGAAAAAAAGATAAAAAGCTCTCCTAGGGAGGGTCCAAGAAAAAACATGTACACAGAGAGTGAGTGGCATAAGGCTTTTGGTTCCTGAGTCAAACAGTTGACCTAATTTGTATTCTTACTGATGGTAGTGTGTACTTCACACACACATACATACATACACATAATAAATATATGTGAATATATATTATCAATATATATCCAAACATATATATATATAGATAGATAGATTCAAAAAGTGACTATTAGCATATATAAAGTTTAGAAAGGCTTTTTGTTTTGTGGTCAGTCATGGGGCTTGAACTCTGGACCTGAGTGCTGTCCTACACTTTTCAGCTCAAGGTGAGTGCTCTAATGCTTGAGCCACAGAGCCACTTCTGGTTTTCTAGTGGTTTATTGGAGATAAGAATCTCCTTTCCTCTTTAGAGAAGTTTCTCTTTAAGTCTTCAAAAGACTCCACATAGAGCTCCCCTATGAACCAGCAATCCCACCTTTGGGCATTTACTCAAATGATCACAAACAAGACAATACTAAAGGTACCAGCACACTATGTTTATTGCAGCATTATTTATCATAGCTAAGATATGGAACCAACCCAGATGCCCCTCAGTAGATGAATGGATCAAGAAAACATGGTATATATACACAATGGAATTCTATGCCTCCATCAGAAAGAATGACATTGCCCCATTTGTTAGGAAATGGAAAGACTTGAAAAAAATTATAGTAAGTGAATTAAGCCAGGCCCAAAGAATCATAAATCCCATGGTTTCCCTTATTTGCATTAACTAGTATATGTCTGAGACAAGCAGAAAAAGTCAGATAAGTTGATGTTAGGTGAAATGAACACCAAGATAAGTATTCAAATGTTTTATCTTTCTTGTGATTGTTTCTAACATATTTATAAGATGATTTCTTTGTTGCTTTGTATGTCCCTCCCCCACAGTATAACTCCTGCTTTTATTGTATTTGATGTTGGTATAATTTGTGGAGGGGAAGGGAAAAAACAAATCATTTTAATAGGGATACAGGTGGACCCATTGCAAAAATGAGATGCACAAGTCGTTATGTCAAAAAACGAACTTTACTTTAGTTTTCTACATGTAGTTAACCAATTTTGCCAGCACCATTTACTGAAGAGGCTGTCTTTCTTCCATTCTATTGTTTTAGCTCCCTTATCGAAGATTAGGTGGAAGTTGTCATGTCCAAAACGAGCTTTACAACGTTGGTGGTGGGGGGGGGAGGACAAGGGGGGGAAGGAGAAAGATTGGGATTGGGGGGGGGAGGCTGGGAAGGGATGTGAAGGGTAAACAAAAGGAGGAGGCTGCAATGCTTGGTAAGAAATGTACGCATTATCCTGCCCATGTAATTGTAACCCCTCTGTACAGTATCTTCACAAATAAAACAAAAAAAACCGAACTTTACAACTTTGGCAGAAGAGGGGGTGGGGGGATGGGAAGGGATGGGAAGGCAACAATGCTTGATAAGAAATGCACTCATTATCTTGCCCATGTAACTGTAACCTCTCTGTACAGTATTTTCACAAACCCACGGTATAATCCCTGTTCTCACTGTATTTGATATTGGTATAATTGTGGAGGGGAAGGGCAAAAACAAACTGTTTAAATAGGGATACAGGTGGACCCATTGCAACAATGAGATGTGCAAATCGTTATGTCGAATCGTTATGTCGAAAAACGAACTTTACAGCTTTCAGGGGGGCGGGGTGGGGAAGATGGGAAGGGATGGGAAGTGGAAACAAAGGAGGAGGCAACAATGCTTGATAAGAAATGTACTCATTATCTTGCCCATGTAATTGTAACCCCTC